AATGGTGATGATGTTGGGAACTTTCCAATTCGAAGACCTTCATACACTACATACGGCCTGCATTCAAACAAAAGCAAATCTGCACATATTCAAATTTATTCCAATAGGTCGCATGCAGCGAGGAAGATTGATTGAAACTTTGCGGATTAGAATTTAACACGCGACGCCGTTGTTATTCGAAATGGGATATGACAGGCCCATAGGAGGAGTGGTCGCCTTGGCAAAATCACCTAAACAGGAACCTGGAAAGGCGTCATCGTATGCAGATAGCAGGTACACTTATCAGGCAAGCAGGCTTTATGCTAGCTAACCTGACCCAGCCTACTCCTAGAAACCATTCAAACTACTGCAAACGCCTCAGATAGTTTCTTCTAGATATATCAAATTTTGTAAACGTATTTGCGCTCCGAATTAAGACGACCTAGCAAGCATGTAGATGTATTTACTAGCTTATGATCTATGTTGCGATTTCTCCGTAACGACTTGTACTTTTTACGCCGGCTTTCGGTAAGCAACATGCTTATTACTGTTAATAGTAACTCTTTGACTATTTCTATATACGGCTTGTAAATAGTTGGATTAGGCTTTGCTAGTCATTCTCTATAGATTTCATAATCGTGATATGAAAAATGAGAGTGTTTTCAACACTATTTTTTGATTTCGTGCCACACCTTCAGCTTAAAGCGGAGAAATATTAATTGTTTTTGCAAACATGCGTGACGCTTGGCAATATGGACGCTGTTCTGTGTGTTCTTTGTTTGTGCGTCCCTTCTATAGGTCGATAGAAAAACACCTCGAAGCTAACAAACTAATGTAACCCAATTTGCCAACTCTCAAGACTCTAAATGCTTTGCCTACACACCGGAAGTTTTTAAATAAAGGAGCAACGTTTACTATACACACAATGTTCACTACAAAAACCGTGAGCTGATGTGCTGCGACTGAAAATAATTTACGAAAGATAACTGGGTTTCATCTAACCCAGTTCGATTGACCCAAGCCCGGGGTCTGGCACACTCAGTTACCCGTAGTTTTAACAGCCCTAGGACTACTTCGCTTCTGTCAGAAAACGAGTAGAGAGATTCTTTAAATGGTAGGAACCGACAAGCTTATTCTGTGGACAGAATGTAAAGACGTTTTTTTGCACATTTAAGTTTTACATGGATATTCCTTCCGAATAGTTGAATTGAATTGAGTGTTACCCTGGAAACCATTATAGCAGAGGCCTTATTCAGCATCACATCATACATTAAATGAATAACGCATAGGTTTTTTGCTCCTTTTTTTGTATATAAAAGGATACATTCAGCGTTTCTGTGGGAATGCGAGCATTTGTTACGTACACGCAGGATTTGCCAACGATGTAATACTCACAGTCAGTTTAGTGGTCAACATATTAGCTAAATCTTTGAAACTGTTAAAAATTTAGGACATATCTAGTAGCACTTTGCGAAATTATAACGCCTATTACGTAGTATATCTTGACTGATTTCAAACTACACGTCTGCTGTTACTATAAAAAGATAACTAGAATGGTAATAAGTGCGAGGTTACAAAAACTTATAACCTCCTAAGGAAGCCGGTAAACAGTTGCGCACCAAATACGTTCTCCACAAATTAAAACAACTTGTAGGTTAAAGTGGCTATACGATACAAAATGCTCATTTCAGCTAGTACTCTCTGTCTGCTTTGTCTCCTGTCAGGTATTCACTTGCAGCGGTTAGAACAGCGGAGTAAAGAAAGTAACCAGGCATATACATACATAAATAAACAGGGATTAGAGGCCTAGGTGAAATAACCTAAAAATGAAACGGTATAATAATAACCTAAAAATAACGGTATAATAATAATAATAACTTGAACGCAATAGTCAGCACGTCAATCCGCTTTGTTCTCTAAGTGCAACGTATCCGTAAGTGTACCTTTGCATATGTGTGTTCATTGTAATTAGCCGATTTGGGATTTAAGAAGTGGCTTGAAAAACATTGCCCATGGCCAGCGCCGGCAGACGGTGACTGACCTATGATCTTTCGAAGTAAGCGAATGAATGCATATTAATGCGTACTGGAGGCAGTTAAAATAACGTCAATAACAGTGCTGGCAGGACCGCCCACTGTAGACGGGAGATGGCCACGAACCTAAAAGCAAACAGGTGGTGACCTAACTGCATCAATATCATCTTTGGTAACGACCCTTTGTCTGACCTCATTTAAGTAACAGGATCAGCAGAGCTGGATATTGCCACTAGTAGGCTATAGGGATTAACAAACGGCTTGTAGATCGGCGCTTTGCCGGTCATAGCGAACAAAATGCGAGAAAGGAAAGCATACATGGCAACAGGAGATAGAGCCCTGGATTTGTGAAGTGGACAGGCTCAGGAGAAATGAACAAGCAATTATTCAATCAAACAGGAACATCATCTACACTTTACATGATGACTATTGGGACCCAGCCGAAGCTACTTGGGTTTGTCAGTTATAACCATTGCAATGGCGATCACCAGAAACCTTGTCGATGTTGCACGCGCCGACATGGAACTCGTGGGGCTGGGTTCGAATGAGTCAAATGGATCCCACAATGAGCGAAAGCGAATAGTAGCTCGGAGAAGGTGCATAATCGGTGAAGTAACCGAGGAATGATAGATAACTAAGAGCGCGGTGTCAGTCGGGTAGTGCTAAGTAGGTGAAAAGGATCATGTTTAATGAAAAGTAAAGAATATGCGCAAATAAAGACAACGGGACGGCTACCAGTATAGATCGTGTTATCGATTGGAAATCTGCAATACAATCAAGCAAACACACACTGTAAAACCGCAAGTGTCTCAGGTCGGCACCCATTGAACCTGAGTACGCCTATACGAGAAACGCATAGAAGGAACGAGGTAGTAGACGAGCCGTTTGCATGTTCTGCTCGGTATGAGATGAGTTAATTCATGGTATTATCTACGGTAAGATCGTAAAGTAACACTGTATGTGTAGCTAAGGCAACTGGGCACTCTAGGCTTATAAGCAAGCCATGGTAGACGCGATGAATATTGCTCTTGACACGGAATCTCGGGGCGATACAAGCCAACTGCGTGTTTCGTATACGAAGTTACATTAACAATAACGATCACATCTATGGCATACAGCGGGCAACGACAAAACTAAAAATACTCAACTCTCTAACAGTATGGTTGCTCGTTCTAGGCTCTAGGCTGGCAGCCGTCTCTACTATCAGTGACGATGAAGTACGTTCACCAGCATGATAGAGGAGGTCTATGCTTTGAGCAAAGATGACTTAGTATCTATTTGATTTATTTTATCTGCGAGGAGCGGAAAAAGAAAGGCATAGGTAAAGAAGAAGCAAGAAAACGGGAACTTCCACCTAACATCTTAACTGGCCATTTTAGAAGCGATCTTACTAGACGTCCCGTATCTGCAAATTGTCACTCCGGTACAACGGTACCGACTTCTGGCCTTATGTATTCTTGTAACGAACCCATCAACATGATACTAAGTGAGCCTTTTTATGATGTTATGTCGCTGGCGAGTTTATGATCTACACACGCAGAGTTCGACCATCAACGTGCCAGCTACGCCTCCGTAACTGTCACTAATCCGACAGCCGTAGTCACCGTTGTCGTCACCGCCCATGTTTGTTCTACCAGATACTTGAGCCTCATGGTTAGCTGAGTCTTCTAAGGTCAAATCTAGAACAAACGCAGTCTATTTATACGAGTTATCCGGAGCCTACCAGTATATAGTAAGACGATCAATTTCGCTGCCTAACGCCGCTAACTCGGGAGGCCGTTAAGAACTATTCCCGGGCGAGACAAAAAGGTAAATGAGAATAGCTGAACTAGAGTAAACGGAGGGAGGCGTTTCATTGGTATCGTGCAACTATTATACGCAATAAATTATTTTAGCTTTAGATATTTGCAAAAAGATCTCATTAAAGAAGGAAAACCGCTAATGCATAGGTTAAGTCGGTAGTTAAAATTAATGAAAGAGGTGAAAGCTGCATCATTTATTGTTAAATTTACCGTGCGATCTACTTGCTTTTGGCCTATATTTAACAACCACCGCTGATATTGAACAGTTGAACTACGTGTCCTTGTCTCTACGCTGACTCTACCTGAATGGATATTGGTGGATTTATATATATTTATTTATAAGGACGAGAAGAGTGTCCAAAGGAAAAGCTGCTAATTAAATAACCGATACCACAATTTTGAAAAACCTAAAAGTTCCGCAAAGTTTTTAGTACATTGCTATGCGATTGTTAAGACATGTGGGAAATAGCAGCAAATCAACGTCAAACAGCCTGTGTCTAACCTTTTATAAGAACTCTGTCGCTAAACTTACGACTAAACGATACACATTTACCTGAAATAGGCCCAAAAGAAAGAAGTTTGCTCAGAACGAGAATACGAAAGCATTTTTTGCTTATCAAAAAAATCTCGTTGGATAGGGTATAAGGTTGTCTTTATAAAATATTCGCCTCAACTGATTATGGCTCATTTACGTGCTTGCCCCCAGGTTTTTCAATGTCGTTTTTTGGTTTTGGAAAAATCGCGGTAAAACTCGAAGCTAAATCAGTGATACGAGTTCAATGGCTCTGGTCTACGTTAGATACGAGATCGTAGTTCATCATGAACGTGCTGTAGAACAATAACATAGCATGCATGACGTAAAATCTTCGCGCGTGTATGACTAATAAATATACAGTGTAATACGATCATATCCTTAGATATACACTGAATGCATTAAGACTGGAATTGTACCCGTACCTTCGGTATGCTCAGGATGAAATTAAAGCCCTCAGAGGTGGGGCAATATTTGTGTCTTCGTTTAGTGCCCCATCGAAACGGGTCTATATTGCTTATTGCCACTGGGTTCAAAGATGCAGGGTATTGCATTACATATTGCTCCCAGAAAATAGTCACTCTTGTGTTTCGATACGTCTATATTCGTTTATTATACAGTTTAGATATTGATTCTTTATGTGCACATCTTGCATGACCGCACCAATTTTACTGCATAATATACGAAGCTGTGTTAGCATCACGAACCAAACCTCAAAAGGTATTGTCATTTCGTTCGTGCCAAATGTAGGCGTTTCTGTGACCGGCGTGCAGTAAAATATGGTAAGGCCCATTGGGTGTTTCCATCCCTATTTGTAGAGGAGTAGCTGTGATGGTCGCATATTCTTTCGGCAAATAGCTGTGTGCCGAAAAGCAGCTCGACAAAATCACCCGGGTGTGAATTATGACATAAATGAATGTCAAAGAAAGCAGGCAATACAGTAGACTCTCGGTCAACCTTCGCCTGACTCCGCCGTCTGGCTTCTTGATTGAGACTCCGTCGATATCCAAGAATCAAGACCGCACGCTGCCTCCAGCAGCAAGGACCACCTCGTCACCTGCGTACCCTGCAGTAGCCCGCCCGAAGCTTCTTCGGGTCGGGATGGCCATTGTCTCCAAGCTAATGCGAGCGTTCGACTAAACAATACGTCACGCCCGTTGCGGTGGCAGTACAAATGTGCAGTGTAATAAACATTCCGTATTATCTACGTTTGCTCTAACCAAAAAGAGGACGGATAAATCTTGCTTCTTCCAGGTGATCTAGGGACTTCAGCGGTAGCGCTGTGCAGTGCGGTGTTTTATTTGAAGGAATAGCTGTGCAAGTTCACGATAGGAGGTACGTGTAGAACCCAAATGTTAGAATACTAAATTCGTGAGGGGTGAATCGAAAAAATATATCTATATACGGAAATAAGAAGTCTTTGTAGTGCTTTAATCGATGAAGTCGTATGGTGAAGTCCTAATTACATAGCTTATTTCAAGAGTGGCTACATACATTGAAATCGACGGTTTAGCTATTCGTAAGTCTGGTGTAGTCTATATAGCGGATATAGCGTGTAGAGACTTGGCCACTTTTCCACTTACCTGAAAAAATGTAAAATGCAAAAAACAATTAGATTACTAAGGTGTTATTAGTAGTAAAAATTGACTATATAAGCTTAGCTATAATCGAACCCTATCGGAATACCTAAAAAGGCTTTTGCAAATTATGTTCTAATTTGTTTTGATACTACTCAGACACGGACAACAAGAAAAATAGGAGAACTATATTAAATTGGCAGAAGGGAAAACACGCAATTTACTCTAAATTAAGATGATTACGTTTATGGGCACCACAAGCAACTGTATGAGTTTGCCCCATGTGTCGCCGTCGAATGAAGTTCGTAGGGCCCTAGAGGGCCAAAATTACTGCTGTACACTCCATGGAAATAATAAATGGGTCTTCTTCTATAAGCCAGTTCAGTAGCAGCCGTGAAAACGTCTATCCGGAAATAACGAAACGATTCTATAAAACAAACATTCGGTCTTTCTAACTTTAGATTAAGGTAAGTAAACTATGTATCAGCTCAATTTTGTTTTTGTTAATACTATATTATGTGCCAGCCAGTATAATAAAGATACCTATCTTACAATTTTATATCTGACAACGGCCGTTGAACATTGTTGTCCCAGAGGGCTAAACTCTGCACGGAAAAATATACTCCCATAGCCAGTTTTAAGAAACCTTTCAGTTTAGCATTCATGTGGATGGAATATAGCAATGGATATGGAAGACGAAAAGCTGATAAGAACTTTAACGAAAAGTACATCATACGATTGAACTATTCTATGGCCCTTAGTAGAAATCAATTAGGGACTTACAGCAGTTCAGAACCTTTTCTATATGTTATGATTTGATAATTATTATAAGTCACTTTTTTGAAGCAACCCTTTTGCAGCTTGGAATAGCGATCTGAAGTACTGAACAAACTTTGAAGCTGATCGACATATCTCGTGTGTATCCGTTTGAATAATTGCCGATATTACATTATACCGTTTCAACTGAAATACGTGTCTTCGTACCTCGGCCCTCGTATTTCAAGTCGGCCGTAACACCGAGACAATTGAACACAGTTCTTCAGCGCAGATATATTAGCTATTAGCGACACATGATTTAAGTATCGATTTTTTTTGGGATGCTTATAGGTATTTTATAGTGAAAAAACCATGTTCGTTCTTAATCATGTCGATGCATGTACACTGGGAAGATCGTACCTTAAAAATCCCTGCAGCACATACTTCCTGTGACAATGTTGTTAAGTTTAAAATTATAAGGATTAGAAAGACTTGAGAAATCACTTATCCGGGACACTCCTTAGTTTCACTGTACCACACTTATTACGTGCGCAATAGTCTTTAAACATTCACGTGTAAATTCACATGCAAAAAGAATCAGCGTATCGTTAGACCTAGTGTGCAAGGTGACAAAAGCCCGCCTAGAGAGAACAGTCAGGCTCTAAATACAGAGTACGAACTTCGGAACCACAAGCACTATGGGTAACGCAACATAATGCGGCTTGTTAATATTCCCCTGAAACACCCAGCGCTAGCCAATGCTGGAAGTAATGGTGTTCTCGATCAGGCGTTTTTTTATCGTTTTCTGAGTTTTTTTTTTTTTTGTTTACTTGCTAATGCAGGCTCCGATTGTTTCATCGTTGAGTTGAACTTAAATGTCTAGTTATAGCACCGTGCGTGCGGATGAGTGAACGGCTGAACCATCTGATGCTGCACTAGCGGACCCTATCTGTGAGTAAATATGTTCTGTTATTCGTTTGTCGTTGTCAATATCAAGCGCTTTACACGCGGTAAAGTCAGTGAGGCAAGACAGATACGGGAATTTATCAGTTTTTCATCCACAGGGGTTTCTCAACCATTTTCGATCAAATGTATGAAACGGAAGAATCACTTGGCCCTCGTCACGTCTTGCAGGAAAGAAAATCGTAGCGTTTAGTCTAATCTTAGAAATGGTAGCATAGTAGACGACGCGCCGCGACAAGATAGTTTCTTGGGTTTCGAACACTGGAAAACTCTTTCTAAAGTTAAAAAAGTTCCCGCAGGAAAAGGATACCTCATATAGCCATACATGTTTCGTAAAAAAAGGAAATAGTATAAAGTTTTTGCTCAAAGAAGCAGCTCATCAACGTGTTTGACGTGTCTAGTTTAAATATAGCCCCCCTCTTGGAATAATCCTTAACTCTTACAAGCGTTGTCATCAAATCGAATCCTAAGTTATATTATTACCAGACGCCATTACATTAACTAATTATATAATCCTATTTAAATTATTAACCAGTGTATCTTATATAGTGAGTACATAAGGTCCTTTTAGCAATAAACGTTCTGCTCAATATAGGTTATACGTTGGGAGGAAGAAATTCAATTGTGTTAAATATGCGTCAGTAATGCGTGATGGGGCTGCGATACGGGAAGCCAATCACTTTGAGTGATACTTCTGTGACTAGTAGCTAGCAGACAGCCGAAGGAGGCTTAAAGAGTCATAGTTGAGGTTCAACCAATATGGACTAACGCGACGCTACCGTTCATGCTACCATCTGCTTGGTAAAATAGCAACAGTGGAAACTTTGAAAGTAATAACTACGGTACCACGTTAGTCAATAGTTGTCTTCAACTGTGGATAGTGTTAATTTCGTGCACGCTGAAGTCGATCACACAGCATACTCTACTAATGAATAAATCGTGCTTTGTTAAGGATCAACGCACAAATGAACTAACGGAAAAGGACCAAGTACGTGCTCCGCCACAATTCAACGTCCTATGGGGCGAAAGAAAGGGGGTTGCACATACATACAGACAGACACACACACACACGCACCCATCGTATGGGTTCTGTTCTAAAATATATGGCGTTCGTACGATAAATGGATTTTTTCTTGGATATTTGGGACGATAAATGGATAACGTCTAGGTTTCATATATGTAACGGTAAGTGGGGCTCAATTTTTTTAGTTTATCTCAAGTTTTAACACTATAATAAATCTCGAGATAAGCACGGGCCAGATACTTTGTGTGACTTACGTTACTTAAATTTCGAAAGGCGGGGCTGTAAGGAGCAACTATGTTTTACGTATTTTATTGAGCTTTTATTAACCAATAAAGCAGCCTGAAGTTATGTTCTCAGAGGCACACTGAGAGTCAGTTACTTTTTAGAGAAATCATTGCATCGAGTTGTATTAGATGGCCAGTCTGGGAACTATATGAGTCACTGTATGTCAGACAGGATACCATCGATGCTAATTTTACAAAAATATGAGGGTACTAAGTATCCTCAGAACACAACTCGGTTAAGTAACAAAGCGTATATATATCAAGTCGAATTAAATGATTACATTTTTGCCACATGTGCTTTCTGTCAATGCCATGCACATGTGGTTGATTTCAGAGAACCGTATGCACATTGTTACTAATTCTGCCATGGTTCCGACAATAACTTATTATTATAATTTTTTATTTTTTTGATGTCAGTCACAACCTTAATTTTAGATTAGAATAGTTTCACGCCTCGGGTCAGCAAAGGCTTGATTTAACTATGATGCATATATGTATGTGCCCAAGTTCATCTATGAGCCAAAATTTACCCACACACATGCTCATCATTATATTCACATATATTTAACAAAAAAAGTAATATTATTTTATTATGTGAGTCGCTAGTTTTTCTCTCGAAGATTACTTGAAACGTATTTATTATTAAAAAAAGAAAAAAAAAGTTTGACAATGTATCTTTAGCACAATCAAATCATAAACCGGCACCAGTGAACGGTCCCGATAGCCAGACAATGGGAGCGATGCAAAATCATAATCTCATATATCATATAATTTTATTACAGTCATTATATAACAGTCATTTTGTTTTTTTGCGGTTACCTATTTTATCACACTATTTCGGCCACGGTCTACGTGTTATGTCACATATTTCAAGTCTGCTAAAAAGCCGAAAAGCAAAAGGGCTAGTAATGCGTTTCTTCCCGGGGGGGAATCGAATCCCGGTTTCCTGTATAGCAGTAGAGGATACCGTCCACTATACTAGCCGATGCTCTTACGCTTGGAATATCTATCTTGTCGCTCGAAAATTGAAATACATATTATTTAATACCGACAACATGAATTGATAAAATGAACCCCGTCGATACGTCCTACTTTTGCCATTTAAAGCCATTCCCGTATATTATTTTGCAACATCATTTTTTCTAGCCATTGCCACAGGCTCTTTTAGGGATTTAGCCATTAACCTTATTGAATGATTGACTTTTTTGGTAGGAAATCGTTACCCACACACCCAAGTATCTCCACCTTTAGTCTTGCTACTTTCGTAAGATGCGGGCATATGCACTATAAACATCGGTTTCTCCAATCCATATTTTTTTAAAAATGAATTAGTTTTAGTGAACCCATTTAGTCTCTAATAAATGTACTAATATATTCGGACAAAATATATAATTTTTAATAAGCTAGAGTTTAGGCGGTACCCTAGAGCTGAATTTTGTTAAGAGTTTCTAAAATTGTCTAATAAATCTAAATTTGTCTTATCTATACGGAACTTCTAAAACTAAATGTGTTTTTAGTTTAATTTTCAGCATTAAGCTTGTGAACAGGCTATAAAAAGTCAACTCTTATTTTGCATTTATCATCAGGAACCGTTGATGTTTCAAGAAGGAAGTCTTTCAACAATAGTAGCCTTCAGTACTTCTGTCTATCACACGCAAACTTACATAGAAACTGGCGTGAACTTCATAAGCATTCTTTACCTTTTCTGAAATTGCAACGAACAGTTGTGTGGAGGATACTACCTCATTAGTTCTCAGTGTAAGTACTCAGCCGTTTAAGCTTCAAATTATATTTGTAAATCGACTCATCGGCTTAACCTGCTTATTCAACGTGAATGAATAATTCATAACTGTATATAAGTTCATTTGCATATTTCTTATCTAGAGATGACCCTGAACTGTTATTATTGGGATTTACTTAGGGCTTCTGTTGAGCTCAAAAGAAGTTGCATGAAAACGAACGCTCTTTCTCATATATCTATTGGACCTTTTTTTACACGACCTTTACCAAGGCTGCTCACTTTTCTAGCTCCTCTTTGCCTTCTTTGTCCTGTTAGGAATGAAGATAATCAGCCTAGTATGTGCAGACATGTATCTATACTGAATAAGCTTTCGAGCCTTCTTCCACCAATGACAGCGTCGAAGGGGGCAAAGGCAAAACGCAAAACATCACAGCTCACACTTAGACCGCATGCTTCGCCGGCTGAAGAATAGAGCAGAACGAATTGGTAGTTAGGCAAAGGTAAAAAAGCGATAACGTCTCGCCTCACTTCCTTACCGGCATAATCATTTCTGGAAAAATACGACAGAAATTGTTCATTTTGCGTAAGCTATACGATCACTGTGCACTAGGTCACTCAACATCTATAATAATGGTGTCGCATACGTACAACATTTGTCCCTCTCTTCCTAATGTGCAGCGCAACTATGTAGTGCATGGAATATTCGTGAACAAGGCGACCATACAAGGGCCAGAAAAGGCTAAAGACCAGGCCAGACAAGTCAAAAAGGACAAAGCCAGGCCTGAAAGGTCAAGGAGGCAGGTAAGCAGGCCGCCGACCGGCTAGTCAATTTCAGGCCGGCTATGTTCAGCTAGGCAACGGGACAGAAGCAGCTATTCTGACGGTTTTAGCACGTGGTAAGCGTGACAGAAAAGATCTTCTCCGCGCAAAATGTAATAAGAATGAATAGACGCGGTCTATCAATCATGCTCGGTACTTGAGACATGGTAAGGTAACGAAATTTCCAATTGACTCATAGTGTTGAGTCAGCGAAGATAGTTGTTCCTTTTGTCGTTTTACATTTCGACACTTAGCATATAAACTAGGTGCCTGATATTCTTCCGATTTACCGAAGCCCTGCTGTGTTTTGAGATGACGCACGGAAATGGGATCAAATAATAAAACTCCTTGATTATTTTTTAGTCTTAAGAGAATCGAAACAACTACTACTTAATTTAGCGATGCGACGGAGTACGAGGGCGGACTTTACCATTTCTAATCATTAAAATTATCTAACGTGGCTTCGCTACGCATGTAATTAGCTATGGGAACAAACGCAGTCTATTGATTAGAAACGTCACACAAGAAAGACACCCTTGGATAGCACCTTGCTTCAAGTAGATAAAGTAAAATCACCTATCCTATAGCTACTTAGGTTGGGCCTAATATAGTGAAAATTCCTTGATCTTCCTCCTAACCAAACAGCCGTTAGATAGATACGTATAATAGTTCGGATTCCTCGCTGATGTTTAATTTCTTAAGCAAACTTTAAAGGCTTTCTTGATTAGCTTTATAATGTTATTAACGAACAATGAATCATGCGCAAGGAATATAGCTGAGACTTTACAAATAACGCTTAAGCCCATTGGTTAGGGTCTTCCCAGAACGCGCCGACACGACCCAGTTACCCTTCACACCCATGCGAGCCTGTTCTTCAACTACGCTGTCAGGTAGACTAATGCCAGTCTGAAAATCGTTCCTTCTACTTATTTATATAGGACATTTGTTGAATTTACAAGCACATGTAATGTTATCAATGCTAGTAGAACCAGTGAAAATGTTTGGCAAAGCTTTTGCAATACCCATCATACCAAAAACGTGTACTAAATGGTTCGTTTACCAGACCAGTTTGACTATAGAGTTTCTCTATCGTGGTCACGTAGATATCGTTGCTCTCATATATTTCGAATAGACGATCGAATGTATGAACGGGTGTGTCGGAAATGTATTCGCCCACAGAAGACCCTAACAATACGAGTGACGTCATTCATTCATTCACATAGCGCCACAAACAGTAGCACCACATAGAATAACCCTCGCCATTTAAGGACTATTTAGGTTACCGGCCTTCGGTCAAAGCAGACGGTGGCTGCTAAAAATGTTCATCACCCAGTCATTTTAAACACATGGAACTTAGTAATGGAGCAGGAAACGATTAAAATTATAGGGATATTTTTTAATAGCCAATCATCTTGAATTAGAATTTTATAATAAATGGAACTGATATACATGTATATTTAGAATAAACGAAAAAATAAAGAATAAAGCCTTTTGAGCGTTCTAAAATTGTGTAATTTAATGATTGAGACGACCATTTTACTACTTACTTAGACGGATACAATGATCGTAATCGTCGTCATACCTACCAGGAGATGTTGCACAAATACAGGCTAGCTGCTTGTCGTCAATGCTTATTGAGGTACACGACTTGAGTCAAAGTCTTGAAAACGACAATAGACTTGTGTTGAAGTTGCGAAGATTGGAGCTCCCTGAATCGGAGCCAATTATAAACAAAAAGAAGCCTCTAAGGTTTATAATTTTGGGTTAAAACATGCATTGGGGTTCCCGTCCAAAAATCCTAAGGCTTGCCTTTATTTGCGATTTTTAAAAATTCAGTTGTTTTTTTTTGGGTTTCGGTCTTCGCACAAAATTTAATTTGGGCCAGCGGGCTGTCGCGGCTGTACACAGCCTCTTTCATCAACACAAACAATATGAGCTGATCAAAAGACAGGAGCAATGGTAGACTGCATAAAACCAAGGAGAATAGATAAAAGCATTTAGAAGGAGGCGTCCGAAGACTTACCGTTCAATCCAATAATGTAAACAATCGAGTTATTGTAGTTCACTGTGGGTGTTAAAATCGACATATTGGTCGGTAATCAATTTTTCTAATAACACTTGGAAAGGAACATATTTCCATTTTATAGTCGAGCACGACTCAAACGTTCCATTTTAACTGAGCAATGCCTGAACTGGATTAAGGTTTGTTTCTAGACGACGGATACTAAACAACAGCTTTACGTAGTAAATCACCTCGACCTAATCATGCAAGGTTACCGCTATACAAAAAACCTAAGTAGCTCCACTTTTCTAATCCTGACACCTTTCGCCCTGTCCAGCGAAGTTGACCGCGTCTAAAAGAAACTAAAGCCATTGTACTTATAGTAGTGCGTATTACAAGCACACTCACAAATCCGTAGCGTTAACATATAATTTATATTTTGAATAGGGTCGACCACACTGAAAAAGACAATCTTAAAAGACTATCGTAAGCTTCAATTCAGGGAAAACAGAAGATATCTCTATAGAGTGTTCTACATTATTATGAGACCTACTTATAGATAGAGTAATCTAACCAACCCATAGTTACGGTCATTTGGGAAACGGGCGGAGTACAGGTGTTTATCACTTCTAAGCTGGACAAAGAAGCGCGTGATGTCTGAATTAAGCAGAGCCAGCTTCATCTATTCGAGATCATTAGCAAACAAAAATCGTCTGCTTTTACGCGGGTATAAGCGCCTGGCGAACTGACAAGGGTCATGACTCCCTAGCAGCTACGTACTTAATCCAAATTCTTGGTGATTTGTCTCTCTGCATATACGGTGTGTCCTATCGTACCTGCCGCCATCTATTTTCCTAGTAGGGAAAAGGAACGCCGTTATATTCTTACGCAACTGGTAAAAATCATTAGTCAACTTTTTCCTTTTCTTTTAGCTAAAATATAGGCAGGACGATTTACATCAGCTAAGCTAGCCATTGGTTGTGTTCATATGCGTACGCCATACAGATTGTTTTAGATAGAAAGAGACCTATAATTTCGATGCCCTAGAAATCCCGGAAGCCCCACCAGTAACCAAGTTGAAAACCTGCTCTTGGTTTTATGTCATAACCTTCTTTGTCGTTTTCTTTTGTATGCATAAGTACTTACTACTTCATGTGTGATTTTTTTTTTTATCGGGACTGTAAAAATGGTCTCCGATTTTACTACCTTACCCCTTTCTCCTCTTTAGAGCGAAGCTTGTGCGCTTGCCTACATTTTTTAATGCTCCTTCCAGCTGCTGCTGCTGCTACAGGCGCCACGAGCTAAGTAGCAAAGACATGCTAATAACAAAAAGAAGTCGAAGAGAAGTATCTGGAACCCGTGGCGGTTTAGTATTTGGGTGAGGTTGGCGGGGGGGGGCTGTTGGAGAAGGGGTAGCTGTGACGAAACTATTAATACAGGCTTAGAGGAGAAGAGTGGAAAAAGGAACTGGTCCGCGTACATTTCTTCGGGCAACTACAGACGGCTAACGATTACTCACCTGTACCTCTTTTCTATTCTCCCTGTTCAACCAAGAAAAGAGACTAGACGGGGGATGGGGCGACCTGGCGCAAATATCGCACAGATACACTTACACGAAGTACCAAATCAGAAGAACGGGTGGAGAGTGACAGAAAATGTGAGCGGTGAGAAGAAGCGCAATGAGTTTAGGAGTGAAATGAGCTGGGAAAAAATTTATGAAGAAACTGCTTCTTAGAGGGAACTATATCATACTTGATCGCTATGGACAACAGTCTTCGCTGTAGTTTTGCGAGAAGTGCACCGCGGGCGAGCCAAACACAAATTTGCACAGTTGAACGGTCGCTCGTATGCTAGCAGACACAATTGCGTTACCTCATATCATTCACAAGTGTGGAATAACGGCCATCTGCTTCCCGCACAAATAGAGAAAAAGCCCGAAAAAATAACTAAGATTCTTCTATCATTTCAGATGCAATCTCATCTACTGTTTTTTAGACAGGGGTGCGGGGTTGTCAAGGCGGAATGTTGACAAGAGACACTCAGCAGAAAGTTTTGGAAAAAACTTGCGAAATATGAAAAGCAAAATTGACAAAAATAGAGACGATAAGGAATAACGATAGATGATAGTCACTGCCACCAGGCCCAACCCGGACCTGGAACGATGAGATGGATGCATTCCAAACACAAGAATGATGGTCCGTTTTTTATCGTCATGGAGGCATCCTACTGAGAAATAGCGATTTTCTTCGAGCTGTCTTAGACAACTGGAACGTACCAAGAAAGAATCTCTTCCAAAAAAATCTAGTCCATGTTCGCCGTTTCATATTAACTGAGGTGGCATTGAGCGAATGGGGGAGAACAGAAGAGGAAACGCTTGAAGCCGACATCGTAAATTCTTTGTGCATGTGCGTATGCAATAGATTCATTTAATTTTTAACCCAAAGGGGCATAAACGATCAGGACAATGAAATGAGCGAATAGATAATATCATTTCAGCCAAAGCCCAGAAAACACCAATAAAGCATTCTAATTGGGACTAACACAAACTCTGTTACAGTGAACACAAATGAAAATAGATATTATTATTAATAATGTGTCGACTTTTTCATATCGGTGACATCCCATCTAGGTCCGCTGTGTTAAATGTACTAAATGAAACTATTGTTTGATGGGGCAAACGTTTAAATTAGGCCTGTCAGTGAATTAATACATACTTAGATTTCCAGGATACGATGAGGAACATCAAAGCTACATAACTGCTTGCCGTTAATCTCCACAAATAGTGATAGCTATAGCATTTAAGCAGAATATGGCCCCTGAGTGAAAAGTTTTCTGAATTTTTACCAAGGAAGCCTAACCGGATTCGCTAGTTTTATTGGAAGGCTATCTCAAGCTAGACATTTACGATCGTCTTAAAAGCTGGTGTGCGCCAATCTGTCGAGGCTATTCATCTTAAATGGTTTTTAAAAGTGCACAATTCTTTCACTTTCGCTTAAATAACGTTTCCGTACCTTGCCCCCTGTATCCGCTCACACCATACACCTTTTACTTCTAAAAGTCCTGCTTTCCTATAAAGACACACAGTCGTTGGAGGAAGAACCGGTTAATTTGGGTCGAGGTGAATTACTCACGTTGAAATTATTATCTAGCTATATACATAAGAAAAGATCACCAGTGATCAATACACAAACGATAGTGACTTCAATTCCGGTTCCTGTTATCATATGCAATTGAAATGGGTACGGTCGCCATATTTAAGCGATCTAACGTTTTTCTAACATATTCCCAAATACAGCACGGTACACACTTAAAAGCACAGTTAATAAGACGGCGTCCGTTCGGACACGGATAAATCCAAAATGATTGGAATTTTGTATTTTGAAGACTTATGTGTGTCGAAATAAAAACGTAAAGATAATTTTGTCGAAATTAACAAAGCTATGGTAGCATCCAAGCGCACATGAATAATTTCGAAAAAGAGCTAAGTAATAGAGGTAATATGTTCGTACTTAAAGAATAATCAAGTTGTTTGTTTACTATCTAGTATGAAGTGGCGCTGACTGTGCGATGTTTTCGACTTTCTGCGCGATTTGCAGTATGAATTCTCTTGAATCTTTTTAAAACTGTCGGGTTAGAAGCAAAAAATTATTCAGTGGATCCAACTCCTTTCCTCAACCGTTAGCTTTCTATCCTAAAAAATGAGCCGCGTATGTTTTTCAGAATCATTTTAACGGAGGTCTTCGCTTGAACTTTTCACTAGATTACAATGCTTACGGGCAATCGTACTTGCTCTAAATTGTATGTTCGCTTCAAACATGTTCCTGAGCCGAAAATAGAAATATATCATGGTAAAACAAATACTTTCATAGTAAGTTTAATAAAAACGACAAATGCAGTTACTTGCCTTCAATCTGTTGTTTACGGAAAGGAAGTCGTCTAGTAGATCCTGCTCGAATAGCCTTACTTCACTCAACCGTAATACCAATACGCCAGCAGAACCTGAAAGCTTTCAAAACAAGAACCGAAGTTAAGTTTGACTTCTTAACTGCACGCAGCTAAGTTATTCCGCAATGCCGTGTACTTAAATAAGCGAACATTGGCGTCAGTGTTCTTAATGAACTTCGTTAGGTATTATATTATATTATTCTAACGTTACAAGTCGAATTCTCCGTTAGATCGTATTTCTCTACGAAGACGTAGAGAAATACGAGGCCTCTAAATATAACAGGGTTCAGTTTAGACAAAAAGGTGTCATACGTTATACAGACATATATTTTCTATATAAATAGAGATGTAGTAAGAAAGTTGTCCCATAATCTGCAGCTCTATAGAGGGAGATAAACAAAGAGAGCCCGATGAAAAAGTAATTCGTAATTATTTAATTAACACATTTTCCGTTTGTGCAAAATGGTAGCTATTGTGACATTGATATATAAGTCGATGGCCTATTAAATGCATCTTTCACCACTGAGTCAGTTGAGGACAGCGGTGACTCATAGTAGATTATGTTAGACAAAAATGATATAAAATTCTTGTAGCGTTGTGAACATTTTTGGCGTGTAGTACCGCCTAAATAATCATTTAGGATCAATGCGAATAGTAATTGCGCTAGGTATTGTATGCTCATGCTTGCAACAAATGCAGCTTGAACTAGACTTGGAAAATACCCTTTTACCCCGTCTGAACCCTTCTGGGGAGTGATTGCACGCGAGTGTGACCCAAATATGGTACATCGTAAATCCAAACCACAACTCCCTCTTTGTAATTCAACTGTTCATACCAAGCAGAGTTCTCATTATCAACTTAGTTTCACCAAAATATTTAAAAAATACAGTTACTTTAAAGTTAACGTTTTTTTCTAGTTAACTTTCACTTCGCGCAGTTGTTAATTGGGCACACTGTGTCATATAAAAAGAGTGAAACTTCACTAGTTTTCTGACTGAGGAACAAAGAAAAATATAAATGGGTGAAAAAAGACAGGCGTCACAAGACGAAAACGTTTTCGCAATCTAATTTATTTTTGTCCTGCAGAGGGCGGCGGTTACTTTTGCAGGTATGTTGGGGTTGAAAGAATCAAAATAAACTGGACAAAATTAAATAGCTTGTCTGACTTTTTAAAGGCAATTTGACAAGATTTCACCAGGAACAATGGTGAAAAGTGGATTGGAAGGTTAACCTAGGAAAGCGCAGCTTTTCATTTCCAATTGCTTACTCAGTCCATCGACCCGACTGGATTTCAGGCCGATAAAGGAGGCAGATTTTCATTGTACATACTGTAGTCTGTACATACTCGTATTTAGCTGAAACATGTGAAAATATATCATTTGTATTTTCATTTCAGGTTGGAACGTTGTAAATTCTGTTGAATGTAGTGTCGTCAATTTTTCAAATCACATCTAATAGTTTGATCTCTAATGGATGCATTTTATCGTTACGATAAGTTTATGTAACCCTTGTGGTAACGAGCGGCTTCACCATCCTGTTTTCCTATGTTGTTTATATCTATTTACGTTTATAAACAAAGTGACACGAATGCCATTTATTATCATGTACTTTTAGATCTTTAAGGATCATCTCAAATAAATCTCACCGCTTGTAATTCTTATAAACAAATTGTGTCTTCTGTACATGCTACTTAACGGAAAATATAATTTTCGGCAAACGGACGCTGCGAAGTTTTATATCCGCTCTTATAAATTATCGTGTTAGCAACAGTTCGTGTGAGCTTATCCATCACGTGAATTTAACAGATTGTGTCCGCCGGTTATATAAAAAAAAAAAAGAAAAAAAAAAACATAATAAAATGAATGGGCCACGGATGGTCGGGCTTTCAAAGACAGAGCTATCTGTTTTGTTGAATAGCATGTTGCAGTATTTGTCGACAACGTCATTAATGTTGAAGCACTTCTAGCATCTTATCAGCACTAGGTACAGGCAGTTCATCATAAATTTGTCCTAAAGTCTTATTTTGAGGCTGAGGTAAATAAATGCATGCTTCGGCCGATGACACATTGTTGAAGACAATCAGCTTGCAGGCCTTCGTTATCAAGTCGGCATATCATAAGATTTCTATGTATTTCAGCAAAGAGGGCAACGTGCCTTTAACGCGTCCTACTGCTATAAGGAGTGAACGTACAGTTACGTCGTATTTTTGGTCGACATCTTTCCTCTTTCTCAAATTATGGCATCTAAAAAAAATAATTTTATGTAAGCAACCAGTAACAAAGACAGGCCGGTAATAAAAAAAAAGCCATAAGGACCATGCTTAGGTAGACACTATGATTTACAGACTGTCGGATTGAATGCACGGGTTTTTCTTTCATGACTTGCAACAGAGAACGAAGCAAGCTCTTCAACTGATTCACAAAAGCTCAGTTAGACTTGATAAAATTAATTATAGATTGACTTTTTAGGCTCGGAGTATACAATAGGTGGCATTTACAGATTTATACGAACATAGAGCGGGCTACAGAATGTAGCCTTACAAAGAGAAGCAACAAAACATTCATTTTGAATTGTCTGTGAAGCGGCCGTAGTACGCCAATTTCTGTATTAAGTAAAAAAAAAAAAAAAAAAAAAGCCTTATTTAAATCAAACTATTTTTGAAATAACGGCCGTAACGCAGTTCTCTAAACTATGCTTCCATTCAATTCGAATATCAATAATTTCGATTTGCTTTTTCCCTTTACCTCTCCACTATTTGTTTACTTTTACACACCACTAAAAACTGGTAGCTTCGTTCTCTTCCGTAAGTGCATTGTATTTTCCTTGTTCAGTTAACGGAATCTTATTTAGAAATCAGCCTCTAAAAACGAAGTTTCTAGGTAAACAAAAAGTGCATTTATGACACCTACCCTATTGTACTTTTTGCCGACGTCGAATAGTTGTCTCAAGAACACGGGACAGGCCGTATACTGCCAAGATCTAATTAACTGAGCGAGTTGCTCGAAACCGATTTGCTAAGTTAGATAGCATCTTGGAGCTGGAGGAGGCGTTCCGCCCCGGTTCGGCATCTGAGGTTGATAAAGACTAATTGTAGGCGCTTTTAAAACAAGACGGCCGGCGGACGATTCGTGATTTCGGGGAGAACATGAACTGTAGCTCTATAGCTATCGATGGGCATCTACAAAAAAATTGCTTCAGAGCATCAGGTTTCTGTACAGAATTATCAGGGACTGATGCTTCCACGTTAATGTAAAGCTCCAGCATGCAGTGGGCTTAGAACTAGGCCAGATCTTTCTCCTAGAAAGATGATGATTTGTGTTTGGTAGGATTAGAAACTATTATACGATGGGAAGTATTCGAGAAAGACAAGGCGGACAACAAGGATCTGTGTATGGCCTTGTCGCATCGAGGGAACAAGGCTATTCAAGAGGAACGCCGATATCCAAGGAATGCCATTTTTTTCGCGATAATGCCAGGCCGCAAAAGACAAAGATTCTGAACACCGTTTTTCAAGAGCTTAAGTAGGAAGTCTTTTCCATTATATGTTCAAGACCTTGCTTCAAAGGATAATCGCTTTTTTTTAATACTACCGAAGGAAGCTTTCAGCCATTTATTTGAGAACGTAGAGAGCCTTAAAAACCGGCTAGACGAGTCTTCCGACACCAGTCCTGAAAATTTCTGACGAGAAGGAAAAAGGAGACTATGAAAGTTTTAAGTCAATATCATTACGAAAGTCTCAGACCATTCCGGTAACAGGTTTAGTTTAACATTTCTTTTTCTCGATTTTAAAAATTCCGACAAGATCAACCCTTTTATTCAGGCGAGTGTTTTAATGCTAAAAGCGCGTAATGCTACATAGCTACTGGACCGTACTACATAAACAATATGCTTCTCTTCTTGCTTGCCCCCCCCCCCCCCTCTCTCTCTATATATATATATATATACACGTAGTGATAGATTTTCTAGCTTGATGACGTTAAAGTCACAGATTCCAGATAACATAAGTCGCGTCGGGTCGGTGTTGATGTTATTTTAAAATTGAGATTTGACAAAAGCTTATGGGCTTAAACTGTTTTATTCAGACTTAAAACAGAGTGCTTAAAAGATCAGTATAACGTGTGTTAAAAATTCGCGTCGTATTAGAGCTTTATAATGAAGCCACAATTGCAGCCCGCGCCTACAAGCGATTTCTATTATCTAAAGAAAAAGGCCAAAAAAAGTCTCGTCACTTTTGTTCTAGCTTCGAAATGAAAAGCATGT